ATTTTACCGATTTCAGAAGGATGGAAGGCTGAGTCAACCTTGAGCCAGTGAGATTCAAATTGCCAAATTGCAGGCAGCTGGCAGTCAGCAAAAGTATTCTGCAGTACTGCATTCACTGTGCCACTGTGGCATTCTAAGAAAGAGAATTTTTCTTAGAATCTCATTGTAGCTGTGAAAGAAACTGAAAGAGGAAAAATGTACCTTGTTGCAGAAAGATACTATATTTATGCCCCCACATTCTGTGAAACATTTATTTTTTCACCTAAATACTTTCGGCCTTAATTTAGAATGCAGCAGGAATTTCTTCATCTTTGCCATGTTTAACTTCTCATCTTTAAAGCTTCTTCTTCATTCTGTGAGGATTGTGACTCATTCCACCATTACCATTTCATTAAGAGGATGAAACTTAAACTTGAACTTGAATTTTAAAGTTTACAATTGTTTTCCCCTTATAATTATCAAAAAGACTATTATTAACTTTGCTGTGTCTCAAAGCCCTGACAAGCAAATGATTATGCTTGGAAGAACAATGACAAATACTGCTCGACAATTAATTTTTTTACAGTTTAGGGACAGGTAAAATAGTCAGAAAGGATAATTAGAATTGTAAGATTCAGCATCGAATGAAGATCATATGAAGAATAAAGAGAGATCCAGCTCAAGTTTGTATAATATTCCGGATTCCAAAGCATTAAATGAAAATGAGAGAAACTTTGTTAAACTGGGATTAATATTTATCATGATGATATTGCTTCTTATTCTACTGCCATTGCCATATATGACTTGCAAGACTCAGCCAATAAAATGCAACCTCCAAGATCCTATTCCGATCGATCACAAATATTTCCAACCAGGTGACCTAATAATTGGTGGCATGACTTCTTTTGTCTTCATAACTAGAGTTGCAGGAAGCTTTGAGAAAAATCCCCATCATTCAACTGTGGGTGAATCTCTGTAAGACATAACTTTTTTCAATAGTCTATATTGATCTAGATAAAATTATTTAGTATATCATTTCTGTATGCCATAATTAGCCACTGTGATTTAAAAAAATATTTCTAAGCATTGAATGATTGAAGGAAACTAACTGCTAGAATTTATGTTCCTTAAATAAAATTAGAAGAAAATTAAGCTAATCATTGCTAGGAGATTTGGACAAGAAAGTATCTCTTCCCCTTTACCCTCCAGTCCCTTTCCTTGACATAGGAATTACAGCATCAGCCTCTAAACCAGATTTTGCTGATGATGCAAAATTGCATTGAACCATAGGAATAATAACTCTCTTCAAGCAGAATTACATATATTTTATGTAGGCAAATAAGACATGCAGTTATTGCAGGAATAATATTCTTTTTGAACTCATTCTTTTTTCAGAATATTAAAAGGAACCACATCAAGTGTAAGAAAAAATAATTAATCCAATTTTATTTCCCAGTTATGCAATGCTAATGTCCATGTTACATGCTTGATAATGATTCTGGTCAGTTTTACATAATTAGAATTCATTACAAAGAGAAAAGAGATTTTTTTTAAAAAAAAAGCTGGTGATTATTCCTTTCAAATATATTTCTGCCATTTTTATAGGTAGTAACAATATAGTGTGAAGTGGTGACTATTACTTTCTAAAATCATTTTAATAGAGATAAATCTATTGATCAGATAACATGAAAAAGTAATTATTGGTTTCTTTTTTTTTCAAGGAGTATAGCCATATTGCCCTTTTTAGTTGCAGAATTCCATTTGATACAGTATCTAATTCTCTTTGCAGAGTCCTGACTAAATATTATCAGCATATTTTGACTATGATATTTGCTGTGAAGAAGATCAATGAAGAGCACCAACTCTTACTAATATCACCCTGGGTTTCAGAATATGTGATAGATATGCTGGCTATCATGCCAAAATGGATTTTTTTCTCCAGTCAGAACCGATTTGTTCCAAATTACAAGTGTGGTAATCCTGAATAAACTCACATCAGTTGTTGGGACTATTGATCCTGGAATCTCTTTGATAGATATTTTAGACACTTACAAAGTCCCACAGGTAAGATGAATTGGATTTTCCTTTTCAGATTGTGGTCAAAGGCAAGACATAATTAAATGTCCTGAACATTTCTGTATTTTTAAGTAAAGATATATAATGTATCATAAAATAAAATAATATATCTTTGAGTTTCAAAGATTAGCCATAAATGATCATTACAAATTACATGTACAATATGTTGCTGATGTGCTGAGAAAAAAAAACCTATACAAAGTTTATGAATTTTATTTATTTATATTTTATGATGTCATTAGATTTATATCTTTTTTTATTCAGTGGTTAAAGAGGCATAGCTAGCATTTTCTTCTCCTAGATGTAGTCATCACTTATTGATTACAATGGGATTGTCAGCTTTATCACTAACTTCCAGAGCTGCTAACTGGAACAACACCTGATCACGCCAGATTTATAACTTCAGCCCTACTTCCATCATTAAGTGAATCTCCAGAAAGACAATATTTCATGTCACTATTATTACTTGGGATTTCATATTTGTGTTCTCCATTAAATCTGGTTGTTAACTTTGTGAAATGACAATTATGTGACTTTTGATGGTCATAAATGTGAACTAGTTCTGAAGTTCTCGATTGGTGATCATATGACTGCAGACCACTGTGATAGCCATAAATGCAATGATTTGTAGAAAAGCAAATTCCCCACAACTGTTAGAATGCCAAACAGTGGCTAAATGAGACAGTCAATAAGTGAAGACTATATATTTATCTATAACTATGCAATGAGTTAGTAGTTAAGTTAAGAAAGTGGGACTGGCCAGAATAGAATAGAATAGAATAGAACAGAACAGAACAGAACAGAACAGAACAGAACAGAACAGAACAGAACAGAATTCTTTATTGGTCAAGTGTGATTGGACACACAAGAAATTTGTCTTTGGTGTATATGCTCTCAGTGTACATAAGGAGAATAAAATACATTCATCAAGAATAAAAAGATACAACACTTAGTGATAGTCAAGGTTACTAATAAGCTATCAAATTGTACTAGGAAACAAAAACAATATAAATTGAAAGATACAAGCAACATGGTTATAGTAATAAGTGGAAAGAGATAGATACTAGTAAGGAAGAGAAGAATAATGTTAATACAGTCTTAGTAAATTATTTGACCGTGTTGTGGGAATTAGTTGTTAAATAGAGTGATGGCAATTGGGAAAAAATGTCCATGTGTCTAGTTGTTCTGGTGTGCAGTGCCCTATAGCTTCTACCCTCGTTTTGAGGGTAGAAGTTGAAACAATTTATGTCCAGGATGTGAGGAGTCTGTAGATATTTTCACAGCCCTTTTTTTGACTCATGCAGTATACAGATCCTCAATGGAAAGCAGGTTGGTAGCAATTGTTTTTTTCTGCAGTTCTAACTATCAGTTGAAGTCTGTGTTTGTCTTGTTTGGTTGCAGAACCAAACCAGACAGTTATGAAGGTGCAGATGACAGACTCAATAATTCCTCTGTAGAATTGGATCAGCAGCTCTTTTAAAGTTATCCAATGAGCAATCATGGTTGAAAACAAGCAACAGGGCCTTCTTAATCTTTAATCAAATTTACTCATAATATTTCTTTGAAGCTGTGGTCATCATGATAGATGTTAACAAAGAATATGCCATTCAATCAGGTAGAAGGTTGTTGTAAGAAATGAACAAGGAGAGGTATTCAAACTCTAAATCTAAAATGATACATTTTAGTAAAAAAAAAAGATATCATTGAATCTAGAACCATACTGAATTATTACAGGAGATGCCATGTAAGCAGAATCAGAAGCCTCATTACTATTAACAGTGCAGAATAGAAATATTGCCTCTCCCTAGTAATTCCTCCTTGATGTTTTGTTTCCTTCCTCCAATATCTCATCTTAACTTGAGCTGATCAGATACTTGAAGATGAATTGATAGAACTGTTCTTCAAGATACAGTATAACAGTTGGCAGGGAGGGAGGGAAGGAAGGAAGGAAAGAAGGAAGGAAGGAAGGAAGGAAGGAAGGAAGGAAGGAAGGAAGGAAGGAAGGAAGGAAGGCAGTCAGTGGTGGGTTCTAAAATTTTTTGCTACCGCTTCGGTGGGTGTGGCTAGGTGGGTGGTGTGACTGATTTGGCATGGCCAACATGACATCACTTACACGCTCAGTAACATGACCACCAAGCCATGCCCACTGAAAAGGTGTCTAAAACTTTTGGAACTTTTTGACAATTTTTTTTTGACACTCCAGCCCCTTATCCAGGTCAGGATGTGGTGGGGTGGCAGTGGTTGTCTTGGCTTTCCCTCCATTGCCCTTCCTGGCCAAAAAGCACCCTTTCTCACCTCTGACAGGCCTTCCCCATGGTTACAGCCGGAGCAACTCACTCCGCCAGCTCAAGGCTGCAGCTCAGACAAGCCAAGGAATTATGGGGAGCCTCCCATGTGTTGCACACCCTCCCAGCCTTCTCCCCATGCCTTCGTGTCATTTTCAGGCACCCAGTTTACTGGGCTGCTCCCGTCCTGTCGTGGCTCCAAAGGTGGCAGCTTCAGGAGACGTTGGTAGCACAGAGGCATGGGCGAAGGCTGGGAGGGGGTGCAACACATGGGAGGTTCCCTGCAGTTCCTTGGCTCATCTGGGCTGCAACTGAGCCCACTGCCCTGAGCCGGTGGATAGAGGCACCCCTTCCCAGCCAGATCTTTCCAGATTTGACTTAGAGGCACAGCTTATGGCTGCTACATTTCACTGTGTTGCACGAGCGAAGGGGAAGAAACCAGAAGTGGTTTAGCAGCCATGAGCCAGGCTTTCCTCTAAGAGCTGTGGGTGGCAGAGGGAAACAAGTGCTTCTCTCTGTACAGAGCTTTCTGGATGAGATTTGGAGGAAAGTGCAGATCATGGCTGCTAAATTTCTCTGTGCTGCACTAGCGAAGGGGAAGAAACAGCCAGTGGAGAGCACACAGAGCTGCTCCAGTCCACGTGTTCTCCAGGTCAGCGGATGTTTCTCTCCTTCGTTGCTCTTTATGGGAAAGTGTTTGGCACAGCACAGCAAAATTTAGCAGCCACGAGCTGCACTTTCCTCCAAGTCTCATCTGGAAAGCTCTGTACAGAGAGAAGCACTTGTTTCCCTCTGCCACCCACAGCTCTTAGAGGAAAGCACAGCTCATGGCTGCTACCGGGCTGCCCCAGTTCCTGTTGCAGTCCAATGGCAGCAGCTTCAGAAGATGCTGGCAGCATGGAGATGTGGGCAAAGTCTGGGAAGGGGGTGCAACATGCAGGAAGCCAAGTCCACTCCCCTTTGCCTCCCCACACTTGTTTACCCATCCCAGAGAGCTCGGGCTATGCCTTCCTCGGACCTGGCAGCCTTCTTGGGTGTGCCATGCCTGCTTCGTTCTCTTTGAAAGCCACTTTGCACCTTGTTTGCAAAGCTACTCTCAAAGAGAAAGAAGTGGGCATGGTGCACCCAGAGCTGCTGTTTCTTCACAACAGTCAAGGACTTCTTCCACTTGGAGCTCCAAGCTGCGGGGAGGAGGGACAGCTGCAATGCCGGCAGCTTTTGGTGGGCTCCTTCCCTCAGTGGTTCATTTTCTTTTACCTCATCTAGGCGACTTTGTCATTAAAGGCTGCTCCATGCCTTTTTATCTTTATAGGGCATGGAGAAAAGTGACCCTGTGTGAAGGGACTGACCCTGCTGCTGAACTTGGAAGCCGAAAGGCTTCTTTTCCACCCAGCCACTGGCGCACAGAGCCGGAAAGACCTCTGGTCACTGCCACCATCTTCACACATGCACAGCTTTGTTCTCACTAGCTGTGCCAGGCAGCTGAGAGGATTCTTTGCTTCGGTCAGCTTACCATGCAGCAACCGGGAGACCGGTTCGGGGGCATGGCCTGGCTGCTGTTACTACTGGTTTGGAGAACTAATTCCCAAAGTTACTACCTATTCAGTAGAACCGGGCCAAACTGGTAGCAACCCACCACTGAAGGAAGAACATATGTAAATAATAAGCCAAAGTAGGGATTCTTTATGGAGGTAAATTCAGGGTATGAATTCAGATGGTAAGATTGTAGTTTTCAAAGGGAATATAAGGATCATCCAGTCACACAATAGCCTCATTAGTATATTCTGTATAGAAATTATGTGAAAGCATATGATGATGTTTTTCAGAACTCTAAACTTAAAGTGGATACATATTTTACTTTGTCAATCATATCCCCCCCCAAACACACTAGTTCTTAAAATTTATTTATATATTTAATTTTCATTTCATTTCCTAGTTCTCAACTGGCTCTTCTACAAATGAAAGCCCTTTCTACTACCACATGGTTCCAGGTGAAGAATTTAATTACATGGGGATTATTCAACTACTTTTGCACTTCAGATGGACTTGGGTTGGGGTCCTTGTGAAAGGACTTGGCGGAAGAACATTTCAGCACCTAATATTTTCATTGTTTGCTCTCCATAAAATTTGTGTTGCCTTCTTGGAGCAATTCAGACCAGTGTATTTCACCAATGCTTTAGAAGGTATGGAATTGCTTGTTGAAACGTTTCACCTTCTTCTTAACAGCAAAGCCCAAACTGTCATAATCAGTGATAATAATCTTTCAAATTTAAGGTGGTTGTTGTATCTACCTGAAATGGAAATAGTTTCTATAAAGCTCCAAGGCAAGGTGTGGATCATGGCTTCCCAAATGGATCTTGCATCATTCTTTTATCAGAAAAGCTGGGATATCCAAGGCCTACATGGTGCTCTAAGCTTTGCAGTTTATTCAAATGAAGTTGCAGGCTTCCAACATTTTCTTCAGACAAGAAATCATTTCTCCTCCAAAGAGGATGGTTTCCTCCAAGATGTGTGGGAGCAAGCATTTGGCTGTGTGTTCCCAAATCCATCTGTGAATGAGGAAATGGACAATGTCTGTACAGGGAGGGAGAAGCTGGAGAGCCTTCCTGGAGCCTTTTTTGAAATGAGGATGAGCAGTCACAGTTACAGTGTATACAATGCAGTGTATGCTGTGGCACATGCTTTACATGCCATGAAGTTGAACCAAGAACATAGGCGAAAATTGAGTGGCAAAAAGTTTGGTCTTCAGAATCTTCAGCCATGGCAGGTAATTTGATGAATAATCAAATATGCTGGACATGGGATTTGAGTTCTACTGATTTGCCAGAATCTCACAAACTCATGAACACAAAGAGTAGTGAGATGTACAATAGATGGAAAGTTAGTAAAGCTTTTTACATTATCTCTTTACCTCTTTTTCTCTTTTTAAATTAGGGTGGTAATCTTGGCACACTTTCTTTGAACATCCCACCTCACTTACTTTCTACCTCTTTCTTGAAGGCTGTATCTGTTGGGACACGTTCTTTGCCTATTCTCTCTTCCCCCCACTTGTTATTCCAAGAAGCTTTATTTTTAGTAGAATTACAAGAATTGTTTGATTAGGTTAAGTCTCTATTGTAAGAAACATCCTCAGAAGCATTTCAATCAATAAAAGTAGGGGCCTAACATAGTGAATACAATAGGAAACTTTCAGGATGTGTAGAAACTGGAAAAATAGAGAATTCTATTTGGTGTTTTGTAATGAAAATACTCCTGACACTACAGATGACTGTCCTCAAGAATGAATGACCCATGCATGCAGAATGGATATTATGAATGACACAACAGCAGGAATGCTTTGTCTTGGGGTGCATGTTTCAATTTTTATTCATCTATGAATTGAAATCAGTCCATAACTATTTAAAATCCTTACCACACCATATAGAGAAAAGGACCAGGTTCTCAAAAAGATATATTTTCAGGAGAGTACAAAATGAGAGTATAAGATAATATCAACTGAATTAGTACGTGAATGAAATGTGAATGTGAATGAATTAGTATGTGAAAGAAACTAGAAAATATCTTAAAGATCAGTTTATATACATATAACAGAAATATTTATTATTATTATTTATTAATTGACAGTTTTTTCCTTTGTTCTTAGAAGTCTAACCATGGTAGAGAAGGTAGATAAACTAACCAGCTTCCATCTAAATTGTATTTCTCCTGTGAACACAAGACAAAAAATGGAATGAGAACCATTAATATGCAGTTGAAAGCAGACAGTTGTGGATTGTGCAGAGAGGCAAAAAGTATAGTGTTACCAGTATTTTATAATTCTGCAAAGACAAACTGTGCATACGATGTAGAAGAGGATCAGAAATATTGCAGTTTAGCCAAAAAAAAAAAAAAGAAAAGAAAAGAAAAGAAAGAAAGAAAGAAAGAAAGAAAGAAAGAAAGAAAGAAAGAAAGAAAGAAAGAAAAAAAAATCCTGCAAAGCCCAATGAAATATCTCTTTCTATTTAAAGGCAAAAGGGGAGAGACATTCATTGGCAAAAAGGAAGAGAAAAGAGAGTCAGAAGAAAAAAAATCAGATATGGCAATTAGTGAGCTTGCTGTTTAAAGGAAAAAGTCAGAGATAGAAAGGGAGGGAGGGAGGGAGGGAGGAGGGAGAAAGAAAGAGAAAAGGGAGGAGAGAACGAAGAGAGAGCACTGGTAGGGCAATTGATAATCTCTCTATTTTTCAATCTCTTGGTCTGGTGACCAAAGCAATCATTTCCTGAGACGATTTCTGCAGTATTTTCCATTCACTTTCTTTTCCTAATCTTTATTTTCCTATGTGCTCTCAATCTGATTCAAACTGCTCTCAATTTATTTTGCCTGTTTTCAATTCCTCCCCTAATCATACCCTCTGTTATTTAATAACCTGATTCTAAATATTAGTCTCATTTGAGAAGAAATTTTCAGTAACAAAATTATTTTCCTTCCTTTTGATCATGGCATCTTATAGAAACAATGAAAATTGATCCTTGAAGCCATAATCTATCCCAATGTGTTGGACATAAACAAAGTAATAATGTACTTGGAACTTTTAGATTAAATTGGAAACTTAAAATCAGAGCAGGACTGATAAAATCAGGGGATAAAAATTGATTGATGGCCATACCTGCAAATTAGAACAAAATGCAAAAAAGACCAGGAACAACATGGTATAAATACAGAACAATTGGAATTTGATAAGATATTATTAGGAAGAGGAGAAAAAATGATTACAAAAATGTATAATTTTTTGTTAAAATTCAAAATGGAAGAAAAAACAGTGAAAGAGACAATGATTAGTTGAGCGAGAAATTTTGGTCATAATATTCAAATAGAGCAATGGAATAGAATAGATTGTGGGAGAGAAACTACAAACTAACAATGTCAGCTGCTTAAAAGGAGAACCTCTATAAAATGTTTTATCGATGGCATCTGCCACCAGCGGAATTGGCCAAGATGTTCTTGAACAGCTCTCTGGAATGCTGGAGGTGCGGTCATAAACAAGGAACGTTCTACCACATGTAGTGGACCTGCCCTAAAATCCGAAAATACTGGTGTAATATACGAAAGTGGCTGGAGGGGATAACAGAACAGAAAATAGAGATAAAGCCAGAACTTTTTCTCTTGGGCATTCTTGAAGGGAAAATGGAGAAAAAATTACAATATATGATAATACACATATTAACTGTAAGTAGAATTGTCCTAGCACAGAACTGGAAACAACCGGATATTCCTCCAGATCAAATTATAATTAAAAAAATCTATGATTGTGCAGAAATGGACAGATTGTCCATGGAAATGAAGGAGGAGGAAACCGAGTATTATCAAATTTGGAACAGATGGTATTCCTGGCTTGAGAGGAGATGGAAAAAATAAGAGATAACTTGTTAAATATAATATGTAGAAGGTAAAATTGTTGAAGAAATATAGGATATGAAATTGAACTATGAATAGAAGTAACTGTAAATATAAATAAGGATGTAATTTAAGATAGAGATCTATAGAATTGGAAATTTTATAAATATGTTCGTTATGATAGAGATACCGATATAGAAAAGCTCTTATTAGTGGAAATTTTTTGTTATGTTGTTTTTCTATATTTTTTTTCTTCCTTCTGTGTTGTACTTTTGTATTGCGTTTTTAAATGTTGGAATTTCAATAAATACTATTTTTTTAAAAAAGAAAGAAAATTGACCCTTTCTTTTTTATTGATTTTTAAAATTTATTGCGTCCAAATACATCAACAGCAGACTGTTTAGCAATACAAAATGGTAATATTGACTAATAAGTTCAAGTTTTAACTATTCCCTTTTTTTGTAGCTGATTAATTTGAAAAGTTACTTTAGATATTAAAGTGATTTGATCTCCCCTTATCAGATTTCTAATAATATGATATGATTTCTAATAATATGATATGATTTCTAATAATAAAAGGAGACAAGTTTGTTAAGGTGATGACAAAAATAATGGAAGTTTGATTATATTTATTTGTTCAATAACATGTTTTTCCTAATGAGTTATATTTTTGCACATTAAAATATGTATGGTTTTCTTGAACTGCATTATTTTTAACGTTTGAAAATTAGTAGACCAAAAGAGTGATTTTGGATCAAGAATCATAGATAATTATGCCTGAGAGAAAGTCTACCACTTTAGAATAGGAACAGTCTTCCACATAATACATTACAAATAAAAAGATATATATGCTATTTATCTACTACATTTTTTATCCCACCTTTACTGTCTTATAGTTCTATATATTAGCCTTGCTTTCTTTTCACATATTTGTTTCATATTCAGCTTCACTTCTTTTTGAAAAGAGTCTCATTCAACAACAGTGCCGGAGATGAAATTTCTTTTGACCAGAATAGAAAATTGATTACAGGTCTGCAGATTGAGAACTGGGTCACCTTCCCCAACCAGTCCTTATATCAAGTGAAAGTTGGGAAGTTGGATCCCTGGGCTGCTAAAGACAAGAAGTTCACTATACATGAGGAAACCATCAACTGGCCCAGCACTTTCAACCAAGTGGGTTCAGTCTGAAATGTGTGAGATGATATCCTAGGAGTAGTTCTAAACCGAAACCTATGAAGTCATTCCTTCCTATTATTAAATCCTATTTTCTAGTACCATTTAGGAAGCTACTTCAGAAACATTTCCTTACATTTGGCTACTACATAAATTTGTTTTCATTTCAAATTATTATGTAATTCAATATTGGTTTAAATTGTAACCATTTTAAAATAATCAAAAGTACCTGTAGATAAACACATATGTAACTTAGACATTCAGTCATTTTTTGACTGTAGAGTTTCTTAAGTTTTTGGTCTCAACATTCCTTTAAACCTGATATATTTTGTGATAATATTTATAACTGATGAATCCTATTAAAAATGATATTTTTTCTATATTATATACCATCATTTCCAATTTAAGAAAAAGGACTGAATTAATGACATCCTATAATGGTTTTCTTTTAATACCTCTTTACCTCCTAAAATATTAAAAATAGTAAATAATGTTGAGCTAATAATCATCATATGTTTTATAAATTATTTGGAAATTTAATGATACATTGAGATTGTATCATTTTACTATTGAGTAATGCTAGCTAAAATTTAATTATTAAATTCATTGATGGAGTTCAATAGAATTTATTTAAAGTCTGAAAAACAGATTTCCTTATCTCTGTATCACTCTACTTTCTAAAATCTTAAAACATAAAAAAAATCTTAATACTACAAACTATTTCTCATTAGCAAATTAAAGAAAAAGAATCTATTATCTTTCCTTTTTTAATTTGTTAAATTACCTACTTAGAATTCCCACTTAAAAATCTAAAAACTTACCGATGGTTTTAATTGTTCACCAGTGGATATAAATTTGACTAGTTGGCTATTGTTAATCTATTTATTTTTATTTTATTTATTTGTCCAGCATATATTTATATATCTATATCTATATCTATATCTATATCTATATCTATATCTATATCTATATCTATATCTATATCTATCTATCTATCTATCTATCTATCTATCTATCTATCTATCTATCTATCTATCTTCTCCACAACTTCAGTTTTATTCAGTGTTTGGCATCTTTTTTCAGTATGATGTCTTCTACCTCTAGAACCATAATCTTCTTATAGATTTTTTCAAATATTTAATTTTATTCTGCATTATATTCTTTTTCATTTAAATAACAGAACTCTTAAATAACTCTGAAAAATGTATTCCTCTTTAATTACGGTATATTTAATTATTTCTGTTATGCAATGGTAAGATTAGATATTTTCCAGTGTCTTAAAAAATCTTTTTCTTTTAGTTCCACTGAAATAATTTCAGCACTAGGGTTCTAGTGTAGCTGAGTATAACATATTTCCAATTAAAGTTACCTATATAATTCATAGAACTGAAAAAAAATTCAATTTTGAATAGTTTTGGTAATGCAACTCATGAAAAAAAAACTCAGATTCTTACAATTGAAACTTTATAGAATTTCAATCATGATTTTTCAATTTTTTCTCCCAAAATACATGATTAACATTTTCCTTCTTTCATTTATTGGGCAGACCATACCTGTTTCAGTGTGTACCGAGAGCTGCCTACCTGGATATTTTAAGAAAAAGCAGGAGGAGAAGCCTTTTTGCTGCTATGATTGTCTCCCATGTCCCAAAGAGAAAATGTCCAGCCAGAAGGGTAAGAGACATTGTAAACCAAATTTCCTTATTGTTCTCCAGGTCACTCCAAGCAGATCCATGAACATATAAGTACAGGACATGAATTATATTTTTATCAGTTAGAGACTTTGCCCTTTTGATAGAGAAATTTTCCAACTTTTTCAAAGAAAGACCTCCCACAGAGTTAAAAATTTAAGGGGTTTCACTGGTGTAAAGTGTGAAATCTTCATATAAGTTTGGCATCTAGGTGACTCAGCGCATGCTCCCATTGCGAACCAGTAGTAAAGGTAAGTTGAACCCACCCCTGTTCTAATCAACTAATTAGTGTCCAGAGATGTGTTTCTTAATAGTTTTTAGCACTTTTGCAGGACCTCAGAAAACAGCAGCTTCTTCAAACAATTCTGCTCTAAGATGGAACAGGCATGGCATCAACTAACTAAAATCAATCAACTAAAATATCAAACATATGTCTGAAAGATGTATGCTGCCAACTTTCACAAAATCTTTTCTATTTTATTCATAAAGCTTCAGAATTTTTTTATGCAAAGAGAATCAGGGACACCTTTCCCTCTGAGCATTAATTTTGTTTTATCATACAGAAATATAAGAATTGAACATTAAAGATAAATTATCTGAAAGCAAGAAAATTCTGATATATTTATATTTAGTAATATTTTATTCAAGACTTTGTTGAAGATAGAAGTAGAAGTAAAACTAAATAAATTAATCGAAAATTAACAGATTAACAAATAAAATTGGAAGGGATCTTAGAGGTTTGAAGCATGAGAACTAAATAAGCAACATGAAATAAACCTATGACAAACTAATATTTTTCCATATTCTCCTGTGTTCCCTTATGTCACAAATATAAGAGAAAAAGGTAAGATAGCAATAGCACTTAGACTTATGTACCACTTCACAGTGCTTTACAGCCCTCTCTAAGCAGTTTACAGAATCAGCATATTGCCCCCAACAATCTGGGTCCTCATTTTATCAACTTCAGAAGGATGGAAGGCTGAGTCAACCTTGAGCCTAGTGAGATTCGAACTGCCAAACTGCAGGCAGCTGGCAGGCAGCAGAAGTAGCTGCAGTACTGTATTCTAACAAGGAGTGGTATTAACTTACTTTTGCTACTGATTCACAAAGATTAGCACTCATGTGCAGAGCCTTACGTGTCTGTGCAGAGCATCAAAAATGGGATGTGGTGATGTCTGGGCAGGTAGGCAGTGCATCTCGCAGCCACCGCAACTGGTTCACATGAACCAGATAGAACCGACCGAATACAACCACTGATTCTAACCACAGAGTCAGTATTGCTTCTAGAAATAACCTGTGTGATGATTCAAATAATAGTGTGATTAATAAACAAATATTTATATATATTTCTACATTTAACTTGTAGATATGTATGACTGTTCAAAATGCCCTGAAGATCAATTTCCAAATAAGGACCAAGATTCATGTATTTCAAAGAAAATATCTTTCTTGTCCTATGAAGAGCCAATGGGAATAAGTTTACTTACTCTTGCACTTTTCTTTACTATCTGCACAACTGTGGTACTCACAACATTTTTGAAGTACCACAATACTCCCATTGTCAAGGCCAATAACCGAAATCTCACCTACCTTCTACTCATCTCCCTTATCCTCTGCTTCCTTTGCTCACTGCAGTTTCTTGTTGTACCAGGCAATATAATATGTCTCTTCAGACAAATTAGCTTTGGTATCATCTTCTCAGTGGCTGTGTCTTCTGTGTTGGCAAAAACCATCATTGTAGTTCTGGCTTTTATGGCCACCAAACCAGGATCAAGGATGCAGAACTGGGTGGGAAGAAGACTGGCTACCTCCATTGTTCTTTCTGGTTTCCTGATTCAAACAGGCATTTGCATGGTGTGGCTGTTTACTTTTCCCCCTTTTCCTGACATTGATACCCATTCAGAAATGGAGGAAATCATTCTACAGTGCAATGAAGGCTCATCTACCATGTTCTACTGTGTCCTGGGCTATATGGGTTTTCTGGCAACTGCTAGTTTCACAGTAGCGTTTTTCTCCAGGAACCTCCCCAGCAGTTTCAATGAGGCCAAATGTCTCACTTTCAGCATGCTGATTTTCTGCAGTGTTTGGATCTCTTTTGTTCCATCCTACCTGAGCACCAAAGGCAAATACATGGTGGCTGTGGAGGTTTTCTCAATTTTGGCTTCTAGCGCTGGATTGCTTGTCTGTGTATATTTCCCCAAATGCTACATAATTATTTTTAGGCCAGAACTAAACAACAGAGAACAATTAATAAAGAGAAAATATTAATAATTCCAACAAAAATCCTCTTTCCCTTAGGATTTTAATGCTGGGTGTTAGCAAACAACTATGTGAATAGGATGTGTATACATTTGTGCTGTGTCATTGTACAGATAATTTTGGCAACTTGTTAAGTTTAAAATCTAGGTGGGCTAAGGCTAAGAATAATTGCCATAGAATCTGGCAATTTTCAAGCACTCAGCAGAGAGAAAAGGCTTTGCAGATTTTCTCTATGGATTCAATAATTAGAATTTTGTCAGCCAAAGCTGACAATTACCATGGACCACATAATGTGAGGTTTGTGATCATATATATACTCAAGCCTCAGCAAAATGGGAATGCAAGATATGGAACCTAAATGGAGCTTGACCAGGGAGATGATCAAATTGCATATGCTATTCCTTTTTCACTCAGCCAAAGTTAAGACTGTTGGGGTTGGCCATCAATGATTTCAACAACCAGTGGTAATTGAATGGCATACAAATAACTGAGAGACATGTCACTATGTCACCTCCATTACATGTTACCATCATGTGGCATCTAGGATTCATGCATTCTCTCTTGTAATCCCTCAAAATGCCTCCTAAATTGATGATGATGTCCCTTTCTTAGGTTCTTTGAAAACTTGGCCTTGTCCAAGACGCGGGTTTATGTTTATTTGATTAAGGATCCGATTTTGTTTGATGGATTTTGATAGAGCACTGTAGATCAGGCTATTGATTTAATGTCGTTGTTTTCATGCTTTTTTTTTAGTTTTGTACACTATCAAGGTCTACTGCAGATAGGCAGTCAATAATTTTAAATATATATATATATATATATAAAGCAAATAATTAAAAATGTGAGATTTCTTGCTTTTCAGACAACTTTTGCAGTGGCTTCAACCTAGACTGGGATTGAAAGATTGACCTCCTAAGTATTTTCATTAGGATGAAGACCCAAATGCTTGGGGGGAATTGCTCTTCAGATTTGGATTTGAGTTGCAAATATTAAACCCCAGTCCTATAGCCTATCTATGCAGGGCAGCAGTGTCAAACTCAATTTCATTGGGGGCCACATCAGGTTTGTGTTTGACCTCAGGGGCAGGGTGGGGATGGCCAGGGGACATGGCCAGCTCAATGTCACTCATGGGGGTTGTCTGTGGTGGCCCAAGCACTCTGCCAGCAAAAATGGAGTTCAGGAGGGCTGCAATTGGCCCTCCTGAGCTCTGTTTTCACTGCAGAGGGTTGCAGGAGGCTATCGCAGCCAAAAATGGAGCTCAGGAGGGCTGCGCATGGCCCTCCCAAGCTCCATTTTCATTGGCAAAGGCACTACAGGCTGGTCCTTTGTTGCTTTCAGGGTGGCCCCACTGGCCACATCTAAGCACCTTGCAATCCGGATCCAGTCCAAGGGTCTTGAGTTTGATACTCCCGATGTAGGGCAATGCCAATTTCCTGATAGAGTTGGGTTTCAACAACCAATCTGATACTTAAACACAGGCCCTTATTTAGTCTTCTTAGCAAGAGTATTGTGTGGCTGGACACTTCCACTTGCATGGACTCCCCAGCAGGATGTGGTGGACAGCATTTGTGTGTGTGTGTGAGAGTGAGGGAAAGAGAGAGGGAGACCTTAAAGAAGCATATTCTATTTGGCAGAAATAGAATATGTAAAAAAAATGCCAGTGATCATGTGAAGAAATAAACATAGGTAACCCTAGAGCTGATTTTAAAGATTAATTTTCCATTTCATTAATTAATATATTGCTATTTAAACTAAGGTTATGGAGCAGAAAGGTTTTTTTTTTTTTATTCTAGCTACATAATGAAGAACAAATTAAGGGCACCAAGAAGAAAACATCTAAATATATCTCACAGTAGACATTCCATCTTATATTAGATGCTCTCAGATAGTAAGCTATTCCAAGGAAATTTAGCTTTAATGTACAAAAGTAATTGATCAGATTAGATAGATGGCAATCCTAATGAAAGGGTCCTAGGGATAGTAAATGAAAGTAAAGTTGAGAAGGTGCCTGATGCTAACTTTCAATAGATCTGCCTATGTCATGGTTGGTGAAAGCCTCCATGATAATGAACTCCAGGTGGTTTCAGGTAATATGATAAATTGATCACTGCAAGAGGAACTTGCCCAGCATCTTTTAAGGAGATCCTTTTGTGATTGGATCTGAGTTAGGTGATGCAGGCTTATCTTTTTTGACTTCTTTCTTCAAAGTCATGTAGAAGATTACCAGGCTTAACCCAAGGAAGGGGCCAAGTGCATCATCAATCTCTAATCCCTTCACCACACAAGAGATCTAAGTACAAAAATTGACTATACATATAGTCAATTGTTTCATGAAGTGGAACTTTCGTGAATAAAGACTGAACATCCACCAAGTACATGATATCATTTTTCACATTGAAGGCATTCAACTGCATATATTTCCCCGAATGTTACATAATTATTGTTAAACCGGAGCTAAACAACAAAGAACAATTAATTAAAAAATATTAATAATACAGAAATCAAAATTATCTTTTTCCTTTATTTCTTGGTTTTAGTTTAGGATTTTTCAGGAATGGGAAATAAATTCTTCAATTTTTCTGAAGAAAAGCAGAGGCTAGTCAAATTTTTCCTAGCTAAATTGAAATTGAAACCCTGAAATGAATAAGGATTGGGTCTATTTAACAATGTAGCTCAGATTATGAACAAAAATTGATTAGATTCAGTTTACTTAATTAAAAACTAAATTCAATTGAAAATTGAATTTACTTAATTTGAAAACTGGGATACAGAGTGTGTGTGAGGATTCCACTTCCATCGAGGGAAGGATTTTCCACTTTGGCATAAAATGGATTTTTTCACTCCTCTCTCATACCATCTATCTTCCTTGTCTTCCAAAATGTGAACAGCTAAGGGATGAAATGGGTTCTAAGATTGAGAAAAAGGTAAAATATTTTAGAATTGTTGTGACAAACATAAATGGTATGTTATTTCCAAATAACTATGTAAACATATGAATTGAAGTTAAAAGAAAGATATTAAGGTGAGATGAGTATAATTGCCCCTATTGGAGAGCACTTCTGTGAATAACAATAGCAATAGCACTTAGACTTATATATCACTTTGTAATACTTGACAGCCCTCTCTAAGTGATTTACAGAATTAGCATATTGCCCCCAACAATCTGGATTCTCATTTTACCAACCCTGGAAGGATGGAAGGCTAAGTCAATTTTGAGCTGCTCAGGACTGAAGTACTGGAGTGAGCAGTGAATTAGCATTCTAACCACTGCACTACCATGGCTCTTACATGAATAATATCAATGTTTTAGCTGAAATATTACATGTATTACAGGTCTTTGATTTATGATCATAACTGAACCCAGATTGTAAATCATTGCAATCATTAAGTGAGAATGCTTTGCTCAACATCCACAATACCAGCACTTCCAATTCTGATCATTAATCAATTGCATGGGTCATTAGCAAATGAAATCCTACCATGGGGCTGTGTTGGGGTGGGAGAGGAAAGACTCTGGGAGGCCCACTGCAAGCCACGCACAACGGTATGCTGCACTGCAGCATAAACACACAGAGGCTAAATGCCACAGCCTTCCTTGAAACCCTCAGTGGGCCCAGCATGACCCAATAATACAGCCAAAAGATGCCACACACTGGGAAACACCAAATGCCTGGAAAGCTTCAAGAACATAGTATGGGAACAGGAAGCTGATGTCATTTCAGGACAGATGGAGGATTCTGGTGGTCCAGGATCATCACTGATAGCCCCGCTGCTAGACAGTCCTTTTTGGACCTCATAGTCTTGTTTTGACTGTGATAATGGAGGGCACATCCTGATGTTCCCAGGATATTGCAAAGTCCCTGACTGATTCAGGAGAAGCCCTTTTTCTTGCAGCGGGGTGGCAGCCATTCTGGCTGCTAAAGCTGTGACAGCTCTGGAAGAGAATTTGAATGACAATAAGACGATGCGGTGAGAGAGCTTAACTTTAACTTTAACTATGCAAAGAACACCCTGCTGTGAAATAATAAGAGAATTGAAGATTAAAGGAAACTAAGAAACTAAGTGGCGAATTTAATTAGGACTTTTTTTTTTTTTTACCCAAACTATCTAATTTGGCAGACTTTAAAACTCTGTTTTATTAAGGACCGAGACTGGATTGAAAAAGATTGACAAACTAAGAGGCTAACATTGGCAAGCCTTTGTGCCTTTTCCTTTTAAAATATTTTTTTTTTTTGGGATTGAATTTTTTCTTTCTTTCTTTCTTTTTTTTTTTGTTTTCTTTCTTTTTATGCTTTTGGAGTAAAGTTTAAACTTCAAAATTACTATTTTTCTGACAAAGAAGTCTGCAATTATAAACTGCAGAAAGGAAAGGAGAGTGTGTAATACTGCCATCTGCTGGAAAAGAAACTTTGTAACTTTGTTATTTGTTTTGATTTGTTGAGGAGATTAACCCAAGGACTCTGAATCTACTGGCTGATAAAATTGTTGTGAGAGCATCTGAGGAAGTTGGAACTATCTATATTGTATACCTAGGTGCTCCTTGTAGATCTATAAAAAGTAGGAGTCCGGAAACATTGTACAAACATTGTAGAAGAAATTGGAACCTCTTTTGATTTTTATTACTCTTTCCTGCCTTGGTTAAATGATAACTCTTTGTATGTCTTTTCTGCATAGACATGTTCAATGGACTTTTTTTTTCTTTTACACAACTGAATTGGATTAAGGCGACCAAGAGCCTGAAGATTGATTTTTGATTTTTGAGTTTTGAGTATTTATTTTTTGGTCTTTCTTTTTTTAAAAAATATATTTTTCCTTTCTTCTTCTTGCCTTTTCTTACTTCTTTTTTTAAATTCTTTTTGCCAGTAAAAGTGGATTAGGGGTTTGAAGAATCTGAACCCCATTTCTTTCTTTTCTTTTTTTCTTTCCTTTTCTTCGCTTTTTTCTTTTTTTAAATTTCTGATTGGGTTTTTTTTTGGGGGGGTGGGTGGGTTGGCTTTGGCCTGGCCTTGGTT